TCAGGAGTCGCCGTTTAAGCGGAATCACGAAGGAAACTATTTTTAAAAATATGCGCAATGGCTTGGCAAAATTAGCGCAGTCAATATAGTCGATACAATCTGTACCGTCGACCGGATACCGATCGGGTACTAGCCAGTGAAAATTAGCGCAGTCAGATCCGAAACGTACGTAATCAGCACAGAAATAGCTAAGAATGAAAGGAGAAACGCACAGTTATTGTTATCATATAGGTGTGAGGTTCGTTAATTCTGTTAATAAGATAAGGAATGTCTGCAAATTTTCTTGGGTCATTATCTTATACTCATTCATCGCGAGTTTCAATGATGAAATGATTTCTAGGTAGTATTTTGATATACAAATCGAGTTGTCAGGCATAGGAATTTTCCAGAATTCCAGCAACTCTTCTCTTCTTCTGTTTCTCATTACTGAAATACACTTGATAATCTTTGATGCGTAGCCAGTGCTGTCTATTTTGTGAATAACGAGGCTGGCATTATTTAATAACTCAACTTAATTTGCAGTTAAAACTTGGCAGAACAAGTTTCAATATTCGAGGAAAAATGACGGTAGCTAAAACTGTCAGCATATGAGGCAGACACTTTCAACATATTTTCAGCTAACAAAGACTGACTTGATGATCGCATCTCGAAGTCACATTTCAACGTTCTTGGCAACAGTGCCCACTCTTTGCGAATCGAGCTTTGCCAAGAACATGAGAGCCTATTCATTAAATTATACCTATGCTTCACTTAAATGACGTTTATTGATCGCATCGTGAGAGAAGAATCTCAGTTATACATCACTTCAGTTGTGCTATCACTGAATTCCTATAATATGCAGCAGGGTGGTTCCAGCCGTTTTTGTTCAGTCGTTTTTCGCGTCGTTTCGTTCTGCTATTTCGTGCATTATTGTTTTGACTTTGAAATTCTGACTGTAATAAGTAACTGTTGCAAACGATCAGTTAGGATATGTTTTTCAAGCAAATATAAACAGATTTTCCGTCAAACAAAGCAAAAATGGAAACGGCAATATTTACAAAGGTCACAAATAAACAGATTATTATTTTCACTGTTTTCGGCTACATACTGTCATTTTATCACTCTCTTTTCTCTCTGGCTGTTATTCTTTCCGAATCACTGTCTGTCGGTGTGTAATTATTTACTACTTACTGTTTCCGTCAGTCTCTTATCAATTTCGCTTTGTCGTCAGTATTATTTACTCTTTATCTGTCATTGTTTCTCTCCTTGTATGTGCCCGCTGAGTTTAACACTGTAGTTGTAAGCTCTTTTTAGACGGATATAAAAATTTGCATCTTTTAGAATGGCACCACGTTTTACTTCTCGAAATATAAGATAATCGGTTACCATGGAGGCAGAGATATTTGACCTGGTTAATGCAGCTCTGAAAAAGAATGCAAATTTAGTACAGCTGCAGTGCGACAAGATTTGCGGCATTAACCGACTGATTTGGTCTAGCTGGAGCGACGTGCTTGGCCCTGAGCTGCGCTACGTTTGGGAGGTGGTGCCGAGTGACTGGCCGCCATCGTACCCACTGAATGAATTCGGTGGCTGCGGTGGTGCTGTTGTTAAGCCCGAACAGTCGGATGCCAGCTTCCCGTTACCACCCAACGAAAATAACAATTCCAAAGGTATGTACTCTATCATGTTCCTCAGTTCGTCATTCGTTACTGAATATTCTAGACAATGAACTCGACGTCTTTCCGCTGCAGTTGCTGCAGCCTGACGCCCCCACACCGGAAGATGTCGCCGATACCAGCAGTGAAAATAAACAGAGCGTGTCGGTCGATCCAAATTTTGCGAGGTAGATTTTTTATCGGAGTTTTGTATCTTTACGCACTGTGCGACTTTGTGCATTCCAGGAGGCAGAATCTCCGGCGTAGCGTTTCCCAAAGCAACAATGAAAGTCAGATTTCTGAGGTGAATTTTTTTTCGATTTAAAAGGCTTGAAATGTCTGTAGGTGTTGATTTAATGACCTATAAAAACTTGCCACGATTCGACTTATTTCGCTGTGATGCGCTAATTTAGTAAAGAACCACTGTGCTCATAGACCAGGTTTCACGCCGTGATGCATTGCCATCTTGTTCCTAGTTGCTTAGGCGGCTGTTTACCAGCTCCATGCTTTAACATCCGGCTGTTTAACATCTGGGCAACATCTCCATGGTGTTTCTGCACCTGCAGTGCCAGATGCATCTCACTTCATTAAAACTATTTAATTTTCATTACGAACGAGGTTTAAAGATCTGACACTATTTACATGCTGCTGCATAAATATTATATACTGTCCATACGTCCGAGTTTGTCAAGTAATGAATGACTCCTTCAAGGCCAGAACTTTCTAGTCAATTATAAGAAAGGAAGCAGCGCAATACGTCGTGAAATGCGGTAGCATATAAGCACCTCCTGAAAGAAGATGAACCAATGATGAGAGCTGCTTTCGCTGAACAGTGGCCAACGATTCCTAGCCACTAGGGGGTTATGAGCAACAGTCACGATTTTATAATGATCCATTAAAGTCTCGTTAGGCTGACTGTTTCGAGGTTCAAGGCAGTCCTTCTAGGTTATTATAGCAGATACGAAGATGTAGCCCCTCCGTACTGAGAATCCCTTGCATCAGTCGTTGTCCGCTCCTGGCGATAAAGACGAGAGGATTACTTTTATGGAGCAAGATTTCCTAAACGCATTGCTCAAGATATGCAAAGTTCAGGTAAAAACCTTTAACTCTTACAGGAGACATTCCGCAGAGATAAATGAAATAATTGTAGGAGCTTCTACTTCCAATTTTTGCGGAGAATAGCTATACTCCCGAAAAGCATTTTGGGATGAAAAATGTTCTCGTAGTGCCCCAAGTGACAGCAGTGATTAAATTGATAAAAAGTGGCCATTCTGCTAGCGAAGATATAAATATAAGCGATATAAAAAATGTGAAAATCCTTCCTTGAATCGGGATTAAACCTGATTTATGTGTAATAAGTTATATAGAGACTTGGAACGGCGCTGCAGCAGCAGTTCGAAATGGTTATCATCGTACTGAAAAAAGATTTTCAAAAATGCAGCGCCTACCGATGGATCACTTTACTCAGCCCTGATCTTAAAGTGTCGCCAAACACTTG